TGGGTTCCGAAGCTTCGTCACCAAACTCGAGACCAAACAACACTTTACCTCAGTCGAGCATCCCCAAACCAACGGGCAAGCCGAGGCCTCCAATAGAGTCATCCTGCAAGGACTCAAACACCGGCTAGGCGAAGCAAAAAGGGGATGGGTCGAGGAACTACACAGCATCTTATGGGCTTACCGCACCACGCCCCATTCGACGACGGGCGAAACCCCTTTTCGACTAACATACAGCACCGAGGCCGTCATTCCCGTAGAAATCAGGGAACCCTCCAGGCGAACATAGATGCCCCTCGACGAGGAAATGAACGATGAAGCCCTTAGAGACGAACTCGATCTGGTCGAGGAAATTCGATTGGGGGCAGCCCTGCACGAGGCCACTTTGAAACAACGAGTAGCCTTGCGTCACGATGACAAGGTCATCAGACGCGAGTTCCAGATCAGCAACCTAGTATTGCAAAGAAACCAGAAAGACTCTCGCGAAGGGAAATTGGCCACAAACTGGGAAGGACCCTATCGCGTTCAAGGCGCTACAGGCACCGGGGCATATTACCTCGAGCAGTTAAATGGAGAACCGTTACCACGACCCTGGAACGCTGCTAAGCTAAAACAGTACTATAGCTAAAGCCCTTAACCACTAAGGACTTTTTCCGTCGAACATCCACCCTTAGCCAACTAAGGGAAAAGTCTCGACCATGTAGGCAGGTCGAGGTACGGACCCGACCTACCACCCAGGGACATACCGTCGTTCACCCAACAAACCGAACGACAATGCCTGACAGGGACACCTCGATCGAGCTCCACTGTTGAAGTACCCACATGGCAGAACACCCAGCTCGTGATGGGCAGTTCACACCACGAGCGTAGGACCCTGACCTGGGTCATACATCCGACACGCGGGCTCCACTCCGCACAACCGATACATTTCGAAGTGCATCGATCCATCAAAGGGGTCGAAAGGATATCTCCGCTCGAGAACAAAACTTAGCAAAATATTCATCAAAAAAATGACAGTCGAACATTAGCCTAGATATGAGCAGGTTAAGGCAAAATAAACATCCATCGAAAAATATATGCACAAAACAGGTTAATAGTGAACCGACCAAGAGGGCCGGCAATGTTCAAGGTTACAAACCATGGCACAACGGCCAAAAGAAATCAAGAATTAGCACAGGCACACATATCCCAAAAAACGAACACGGGCACGCAGGCCTGAACAATAACTTAATGCTAAACATCCCCAGGACTACCGGTATCCACGTCAGGAGACTCGGGGGGAGGCACAAACTGACCATCAATAATTTGGGATAGAAACCCGACTCCCTCTGTGTTCATTCCCGGATTTAGGATGGATAGCTAACTGACTGCGGCGTCGAACCCATCGGCTAGGGCACCGACAAAGTCTGACTCGAGAAGGTGGATACGAGCAACCAAATCTGAACGGGTGCACAAAGAGGCTATCTCCTCTGGCTCGTCATCAGTAGGAAGCATAACAGCTTTTAGCTCCTCGATTTCCTTGGACAACCGTTGGTTGTCGCTCTCCAACTGTTCCTTATCAAGTTGGAGGAAATCCATTTCCTCGGAAGCCTTCGCGGTCTTCTCCTTCTCCCTCGACAGCAGGCCATCCTGCTCACGAAACATCTCCTCGGACCGCTCGAGGGCCGCCTTCAACTTGAGAGATTTGGCAGCGAAAGCAGCCTTCTCCAATTCTAACTCCCTGACACGGTCCGAGGAATATGATCCTTCCTCTAAAAGGACCACAACCATCTCGGCCATCTTCACTACCCTGACCATGTTGGTGGCGAGTTGTTTCCTCCGGCCTTCTTTGTCGAGCCGTTTAATAATGTCGGCCTCGTTATCAGACACTGTCAGAGGAAACCCCTTGAAGAAATCCTTTTCCGCAAAACAGGGCGGTAAGACAAAGGCCCGAGAAGCTACGGGCTCATCGCCAGTTTCCGCCCTGCTCTTTGTCCGACCCTTCTTCCTCCCAACCAGCTCGGTCTGTTGCTCGGTATCGGGTGAGCCCGAGGACCCACTTGACGCATCTCCGCCCGAACCAGCCGGCGGGCCCATCCGCGTGGCCTGCGGTGCTCGCACCAGCCTCTTGCTTATCTTTTTGTCTTGGGTCAACTTCAACAGCCTCTCTCGACGTTCCGCCATGTGACCTGCAAAGAGGAGCGAACCCGGGTTAGCTACAAGCGAACAAAAGCAATGAAAATGGAATAAAATAATAAGAACAGAAGCAAGAAACCTAAGAGATCTACGGCCTGCCCGTAGGATTGGCATTCAACGAGCGCCTTGGTGTTGATAGGGCACGCCTCGAACGTCGGGTAGCCATCCTCATCAAGAATGTCATCCCCTTCCCTCGTGACCCACCGGGCGGGGAAAAAGCTATCAACATACTTGCAAAGGACATCATAGGCCTCCTCATCCTCGACACTCATGCTCCCCGCAGGGGTATGATAGTGCCCGGTGTCGTGCTCATAGTGACCCGAGCACCAATGGATCGGGAACCTGGAGATCTGCCCGACTGTGGGACTACCCTCAGCATCCACAAGCGGCTCCCCGTCCCCGTTGACCACCACAGTTTCTGATTCGAATAGAGAATCCAGGGCCGTTTGGGTGGCCGGATGCAACACGTACCATTTATCTTTGAAATCCCTCACCGAATCCATCTACATCCTAAACAGACTCTTCAACTGTTTAAGGGATACCCAGCTATGTTTGCCTCCTCGAGACTGATGTTGCAGATGAAACACCCTGAAGAAAAGGGGAATCGTCGCCCCAATTCTCAGGAAACGGCAGGTCAGCTCAAACGCCCAGAGGAAGGCGATCGCGTTAGAGTGGAGCTGCGAGGGGGCTAGGTTCAAATGACTGAACACCCCAACTTGAAAGCCACTAAAAGGCAGCCTAAGACCGAGATCCCTGAATACAATCTCGTACATAGGGAACACATACTCAGTGAACTCCGAACAGATACGGGCGTCGATGGTCGGCCTCATTATTCTAAAATTCTTTTGAAAACCTTCCTGAGTGTCACCATGCTCAACGACAGTATAAGCTTGCCGACTACGACGACAGTATGCCGAAGCAATTCCCCGAGGCTTGGCGCCCACCCAGTCCAACGTAGGGTCGTCGATGGTGTCGACCAATGTAACATTCTCTCTGTACTTGTTTCCTCGACGTCATTATGTCTCGAGGATTCCGGATTATCGGCCATTTACCTACAAAGCACAGGAAACCGGTAAATTTGACAGCAAATCTGCGTGCTCGCCAAAAAGGCGGGGAGAAGTACACAACACTCAGATCGAAACTAAAGCCGAACACAGACACCCCAGCTCCGACCACGCATCAATCGTGGATACCACAAGCATAACATGAGCGCCCCGGGCAAATCATGAATCACGCGACCAAGTTCCTGACTTCGCCTACCTAACACTAGAATACTGCGAGGAGACTACCCTACATACTTCCTAAAAGGACGAATATCCCGGCCAGTTCATGGGTATGCCGACCAAACGCATGAATATCACGGGCAATATCATGAATTATATGCCTAAAACTATGAATATCACGGGCAATATCATGAATTATATGCCTAAAACTATGAGTATCTCGAGCACAGTCATGAATCAGGCGCCTATCGCGCTTGAATCTACCGGACATTACTTCCAAATATAGGTTTCTAGTATCAAAAATATCATCAAAGCTACCTACAACACAGAGAAACAAGAGTAAGAGACACTTACTTGGAAGAAGAAGAGGACAAACAGCGGTGGTGAGAGTAATCAACGGCGAACGATGCGGCAGTCTCAACGGTGTTACGGGAACCAACCGCTGTGGAAACAGAGAAACAAGGAGGAGCGTGAAGAGGAGAAACAGATTATAGGCCCAAGGGTCCTATTTATAGAGATGACGTGGAATATGAAACGTCGCACCAGGGAGACACGAACTTCCCCCATCCTCGACACCTACCCGCCTAGGAAATGATGACCCTATCAACTAGGGAGGCGTTGCAGCTCCCAAGGACTACACCACGTGTCCGACAGACGTAGCCCAGAGATCCCCACGAGATTTCCTCGAACACGCTTCGAAAGGCAAAGCCATAGGTCAGACATTGGGTCCCCGCGGAAAAAGCAAGTTGAGATAAAGTTATAACTCCTGTCCTAGGAACAACGACTTAGGGGGCTCCTGTTCTGGACTGGGCCCGCCTTGGCCCAAAGTTCAAATAAAGGTCCAGATCTAGGCAGCTCCTCGGGGAATGCTCATAATCAGACCATCCTGAACGTGCCCGACCACGTAGAACCTGGCAGTCCCTTTATTGGGCCAGTTCTGGTCGGCCCAATAGGGGGACCTTGGCCCAACGCTGGGGGCTATAAATACCCTCTATTCCAAGAGGGTCAGGTATTCGTTCATTACACACCTATATACTTTTACCTGCTCATTCCGTCTCTCATTTTATCATCGGAGTGTCTTGCAGGTACCCCTCCCCCCCATCTCATTCAAATCCAGTTCGAGCCAGTTGTGACGGTCCAAGTCTGATCCGGTAAGATCATATATATATATATATATATATATATATATATATATATATATATATATATATATATATATATATATATATATATATATATATATATATATATATATATATATATATATATATATATATATATATATATATATATATATATATATATATATATATATATCAAATTATTTTAAATCCTTAAATTTTTGTTTTAAGATTTTAATTTATTTAGATAAATATATATTTTAAATCTGCTTCTAAAATATTCTAGCATAGGTGTTAAAATAAAATATTAATTATCTTATCTTTAAAACTTTAATATTAATAAATTAAAATATTATTTTATTTTTATAAATTCAATAAATGTTTTAAATTTCTCATTCTAGAAAGTGAAAATTGACATCGAGTAGATTGTCTCAATCTTAATTTTATTATCGTGATTACGATTGCATACCAGACTCTAAACCCTATGAGTATGACGAAATCGGTGGGCATAAGAAATACAAAGGTTAGCAGTGATATACCTAATGATCTTGCCTTTTTTATTTTGTTAAAGTTGTCTATTAAATCTTTGAAGCGTTTTGAATGTGTATGCAAACCATGGATCCTTTTGCTTAAAAACCCTATTTTCACGAGATTGTTCTGTGATAATTTCTTATATGATAACAATTGTTATTATCATGATAAATCTCTCTTTCTGCATCATATTACGGCTAATAATTTCGATTCGGAATTTGTAATGTATTCTCATTCTGGTGATAGATATGAGAATATGATCAAATTAAATTGGCCAAATCCATTTCAAGAAGAAGATCCTGGTTTTGATATTTTGGGATCTGGTATTATTAATGGAATTATTTGTCTAATCAGTTACTTTCATCTAAGTATGAAATTTGTATTGTGGAACCCGACTACTAAAGAATTCAAGGTTATTCCTAACAGCCCTTTTGATTTTGTTAGAGATAAACTTTATTTTAATGAGAAAGGTTTTGGCTATGATTGTATTGGAGATGACTATAAGGTGATTCGAGAAATAGCAATTGATCTAGAAAGTGACTATGACACGGAAATTGTGTCATTGGGAAAAATATCTCACAACCCCTTTTGGGAGATATATAGTCTACGAAGTAACTCTTGGAAAAAACTTCAATTTGATATATGTCATGAATATATAAATAAAGGAATGTGTTTGGATGGAGTGTGTCATTAGGGGTGTAAAAGTAACTATACCGATGGTAAAGGTAATGAAATATATCTATTGTCATTTTACCTAAACGATGAGGTATTCCTTATTACACCCATAGAAGATCATACTTTTGAATTAGGGACTACAATAAGAGAGTTATGTGTGTTAAATGGGTTCATTGCTTTAATCTCAAGAAATAAAAAAATAGACTCTTTTCACATATCGATTTTGGGTGAACTTGGTGTGAAGGAATCATGGATTAAACTATTTATTATTTGTCCCTTACCTTACATTGTCTATTCGATCGGAGTAGGAAATAAAGGAGATATATTATTGGTCAAAGAAGATGGAAAACAAATCTGTTTTAATTTAGGCACACACCAAATTGAGGAACTCAATTTTGCAGGAAATAAAGTTTTGGGTAGGACAATGCTCTATAAGGAAAATCCTCATCTAATTTTGGGGTAGGACAATCCTCAAAGTGGCCTCCCAATTGTGCATCAAGAAACAATTTGATATCATGTATGACTTTAGTAATTTTATTTTAATGTTTTTATTTCTTCTTATATTCTATAACTTAAGTTACATTTCAATTGTTAATCAACAAATACAAGCCCAAAATAATATTGAACTTTGAAATGTATAAAACATATGGCTCAGGTATTTGAGTTAAAGAACTTCTTAAGTGTGTTTATGCATAATGAATCATTTATCTGATTTGTTCTTTATATCTATACTTATAAATAAGTCGGTTTTTGATATATTTTGGAGGAAATGATTCGAGAGGTTCTATCATTTACTTCAAAATGTAGATATGTTTTTTACGATTAGACTATCTCTTAAGGTAATTGTATGTTGTGTGATATTAATGTTGTTAAATTGTGTTTAAATGTATATATTTAATGTGATTGATATGTTGTTTGGTGTTAAAATAATTGCTATGTGATTTGTATTAATTATGTATAACTTAGAACTGATGTTGCTTGTAGAGATTTGGACCGTGTATATCTCAAATTTTGTTTATCTTTTGAACCACCAAATAGAGTAATTTTTTTAGTAATACTATAATGTCATCTCTACTATGATAAAATATGAAGATTTTTACCTGTCATCCCACACTTAAAATCTAACGTGCTTTAATTGTAGTGTTCTTATTATAATATTTTTTGGGATTTTTTACGTTTTTAAAAAATATTTCGTTTAATGAATTTTTGTCAATTTTTTTTAGTTTTTACAGAATTTTTTTGGAGGATTTCATGAGTTTTATTAGATTTTTTAAAAATCTATAATTTTTTATCATATTTTTGGAGAATTATGAATGTTTATCGGATTTTTTAAAATAATTTATGAGTTTTACGTGATTTTTTTTTAAAATAGTGTAAAATCATTTTTTTATCAAATTTGAAATATCAAATGTTTAAAATATACTATCAATTTTTTCTAAAATCTATGATTTTTTATCTAATTTTTCAAATATACTATCAAATTTTTAAAAATCTATGATCTTTTATCGATTTAAAAAAATCTATGAGTTGTAAGTGGATTTTTAAAAAAAAATTGAGTTTTTATCCAATTTTTCAAACAATCTACGAGTTTTTATCAGATTTTTCAAATATACTAATTTTCAAAAAATTTAGGTTTAATTGTAACTTTAGTCCTACTATTTAACTTTTTCTTGATTTTAATCTCCTATTTTAAAAATTATTATTTTAGATATTTTTTAAAGTTTTCTGTTGAATTTTGATACAATTTTTGGTTATGTGTCAATGTCGTGTCATTTTAATATTAATATAATTATTTTTTATTTTAAATAATAAAGTCTTTATTATTTTGATATTTGTTGGAAATCCACAAATACTCTATGATGAATTTCGACCACCACTGATGATTAGTTATGAGACAAACAAAAAAAGAACAATGGAGATATTTCTGCAGAATTTCTATTCTGCCCACAAACTGTGGAAACTTTATTAATTCACTTTGCAACTGCAAAATACTGTGAATGACTTAATTATAAAATAGGGGTTACTCCCTCTATTTATAGATTTAGGTTAGCTTGCTCCCTAAGCTAAACCCAAGCCCAAAATATCTCTTTACTAAATCAAATCAAATCTAGATTTAAATTCAAATCTATTTAAATCTAAACAAATCAAATCTTCTTTTGACACATATGAATTACAATTTAACACACCACCTAATTCATTGTGTATAAACTGTCTATATTCATCATGACCCTTAGCTTTCTGAATACTTTGACCTGCACTCCCTTCGTCATGATGTCTGCAATCTGATTCTCAGTTCTGCAGTGTTCCAAATTCATCTTCCCGTCTGCTACCTGCTCTCGAAGATAATGGAACCTCATTTCGATGTGCTTACTTCGACCATGTGCTATTGGGTTCTTCGCCAAATTGATAGCTGACATGCTGTCTATCTTCATGGTAATTGCTCCATGATTTTTCCCTGTTATCTCTTCGACCAAGTTCACCATCCCGGTTGCTTGACATGCACAAAGAGAAGCAGCTATGTATTCTGCTTCGCATGATGATAATGCCACTACTGGTTCTTTTCTCGAACTCCAAGCAATTGTTGCACCACCTAGCATAAACACATATCCTGCTGTTGACTTTCGATCTTCAGCATCACTACACCAACTCGAATCAGTGTATCCCACTAACTTGCATTCTTTTCCTTTATCAACTGCAGGAAACAGAATGCCATAATCGAAAGTTCCTTTAATATACCTTAGTATCCTCTTCACAGCTGCTAGATGTGATAGCTTTGGCTTCTGCATGAATCTACTTACCATACCTACGATGTATGCTAAGTCAGGCCTTGTATGACAAAGGTATCTCAATGATCCAATAAGTCTTCTGTATTGGGTTGGATCAACATCATCTTCATCTGCATCTTTCGACAGTTGCAGTCTTGGTTCTGTAGGTGTCGAAGTTGCATTGCATTCTTCCATCTCAAACCTTTTGAGAATTTCTCCTGCATATCTTCTTTGATGCATCATCAAACCTCTACTGCTCTTGTAGAATTCGATACCAAGGAAATATGAAATCTCACCCAAATTAGACATTTCGAATTCCTTGCTAAGGTCAACTTTGAAGTCTTCGATCTCACTTTTACAGCTACCTGTTATCAACAAATCATCTACATATAGACATAGTATAAGCAATTTACTCTTGCTTCTTCTTACATATACTCCATGTTCAGTTATGCACTTCACAAATTCCTTCTCCCTTAGAAAACTATCAATTTTCTTATTCCAAGCCCTTGGAGCTTGTTTCAAACCATACAGGACTTTATGTAGCCTGTACACCTTTCTTTCTTCGTCATGTTTCACAAACCCAACTGGTTGTTTAACATAGACTTCTTCATCTAAGGGTCCATTTAGGAATGCACACTTCACGTCCATCTGACGTATGTGCCAACTGTTGATTTCTGCTAGACCAACAACCAGCCTGATTGTTTTGATCCTAGCAACAGGTGCAAAAACTTCGTCGAAATCTATTCCTTCTTTCTGTAGAAATCCTTTCGCCACAAGTCTTGCTTTGTGTCGAGTTACTTCACCTTTCGAATTCGTCTTCACTTTGTATACCCACTTGACATCAATTGCCTTCTTGCCTTGAGGCAATTCGACAAGTGACCAAGTGTTGTTGTCTTCGATAGACTTTACTTCTTCGTTCATTGCTTTCACCCACTTCGAATCCTTTAATGCTTCAGCTGCATTAACAGGTTTGACATCTGCATAGAAAGCATAATGTACCAGCTCACCTTCATCATCTATCACATCATCTGATGTAATCACACAATCTTGCAATCTTGCAGGCATGCGTCTTGTTCTTTGAGGTCTGCTTGTACTGGGTATATCTGCTGGCTCCTCTTGTCGAACTTCTCTTTCGACTTGAGTTTCTGGCTCTTCGAATAAGATTCTCACTGAATCTTTCTTGACATTTGCAGTCCAATCCCATTCTTTGAACTCATCTATGATCACGTCCCTGCTGATCACAATCTTCTTGTTCTCTGGATCGAATAACTTGTAGCCTCCTGTCGAATGATATCCAATTAGGATCATTTGACTTGACTTGTCATCAAGTTTCTTTCTCAACTGATCTGGCACATGTCTATGTGCAATAGATCCAAATACTTTCAGATGACTCAAGCTAGGCTTCACACCAGACCAACATTCTTCTGGAGTAATTCCTTCTAGCTTCTTTGTAGGACTTCTGTTCAAAATGTATGTTGCAGTCGAAACAGCTTCACCCCAGAACTCTTTGGGTAAATTCTTGCCTTTCAACATACTTCTCACCATATTCATGATGGTTCGATTTTTCCTTTCTGCAATTCCATTTTGCTGTGGAGTATAGGGTGGCACCACCTCATGCATAATCCCTTCCTTTTCACATAATTTGTCGAAGTCTTTCGAAACATATTCTCCTCCACCATCAGTTTTCAAAACTTTGAGCTTTCGACCACTTTGTCTTTCGACCATGGACTTGAACTTGGTGAATACTTTGATCACTTCACTTTTCTTCTTGATCAGGTAAGTCCATAGCTTTCGACTGAAATCATCTATGAATGTAACAAAGTATTTGTTACCTCCCATCGAATCCACCTGGATTGGTCCACATACATCAGAGTATATGATTTCGAGACTAACCTTCGACCTGCTTCCTGCATCCTTGCTGAAGTTATTCTTGTGTTGCTTCGCCTGCACACATTCTTCACATACTTCATTTGGAATATCAATTTCAGGCAATCCTGAAACCATATTTCTTCTCTTCAAATCTCTGATGTCTCTGAAGTTGAGATGACCTAGTCTATAATGCCATATCCATTCATCTCTGCTAGCTGCAGTCGAAATGCACTTGTGCTCCATCACATTTAGTTCAATCTTGAAGGTTCGATTCTGAGACATAGGAGCCTTCAAGATTACCCTCCCATTTGCATCAACAACTCTCATCAACTTATCTTCGATTGACACTTTATAATTCTTTTCGACCAACTGCCCTATACTGAAC